CAACTATCTGGCCGACTGATTGGAAGAGATCCATATTTGTGCCCATTCCAAAGAGATGTGACCCAATGGAATGTGGAAATCATCGGACAATCTCTTTGATATCTCAAGCGAGTAAAGTTTTGCTCAAGGTAATACAGAAATGGCTACAATCATACTTTTTTGTATACCTCACAAAACACAGCAACAATACATAAATGCTCTTATTTTATATGTGAGAAAGTGTATTTACCCAGAGGCCTATGTCCAGTGAGTGTTAGAAACAACACTGGAACTTGTCTCTTAATTCTAAACACTCCAATGTTTTTATAATATTAGGGTAGTTATTTCTAATAGTAAACAACAAGATAAAAGATGTTCCAAGGAGGTTTATGATACTTCTAATTATGTCATGCTATGTGTTGAAAAAAGAATCATAGTGGCGTAATGTGTTAAGTGTTTGGATACTAACTGTGCAGTGGTTTGAAACCACCAGCCCTGCTTTGTGGGAAAAAGTCGTGGCAGTCTGTTTGCATAAAGACTGAAACTTTACAGACCCTATGCTCTACAGTGTTTTACAGACCACTATGTGTCCGAATTGCTATTTGACAGAAAATCTTAAGGTGTGATGCAAGACAAGGGCTTAGCCATCAACCTTGGAAGAATGAAGATGGGCAAAAGGAGATGTTCTCCTGGCTCTGCAGGAAAGACCAAAATCTTCCTAGCCTCAGTGAATAAAAGGTGAAAAAGATAAGTGAATTAAATTGCTAATGGAATGTAATCCATATCCTCCCCAAACAGATGAGAACTGCTGTGTTTGAAGATTTCACTATATACTTGCTTTTGCATATGTCATGAAAAGGTCAGCCGTGTAGTTAAAGTATCCTTTCTTGGCTTTTTGATGTTAGCAGAATCCAAGGCAACAAAGGAGTACACAACAGCACTTTAAAATAGACATGGGAATGATAGGGAAAGACTCTGGATGTGTACATGGGCTAAATAGAATAAAGGTAGACTGTGATGTATGCATAACCTTGGCATAACAAGGCTCTAAGATACAGGGATCGAGACATAGGCTGAAGGGGAAAGGAGGGGAAATAATGTTATGGTGCTTGATTGTTTTGTGGATATTGGGTTCCCCTGCCTATTAGTATAATGTTGTTGTTGTTAAGTGAGTAGAATCTGACCCATAGTGACCCTGTATAGGGTTTCCAAGGAGCAGCTGGTGAGCTTGAACCACTGACTTTGCAGTTCAAACGACTTTGCAGTCTGACACATTAGCCCACAGTGCTACACCAGGACTCGTAAATGTAAAGATGGAGTAATCTGAAGAGATTGTTGCTGTTATTTGAAGTGCCATCGAGTCAGTTCCAGCCCATAGCAACCCTGCATAGGGCTTCCGAGGAGGAGCTGGTAAGCTCGAATTGCCAACCTTGCAGTTCAAATGGCTTTGCAGTCTGGCGCATTAACTCACAGGGACACACCAGGACTCTGTGAATATAGCATAGAATGCCATAAAATGAAAAAAAAAATCTTTCTAGGTAGAAGTATAGCCAAAAGAATATATACAACCCCACTCTAAGACGGAAACTCAAAGGGAATACATGGGCAGGCATGTAAGTTTGCTGGTGTCCATATTGGTCTACTGGTGAGTGGAAGAGGGGGAAAGGCAGCAATGAAGAAATGGGCTGAGCTCAACCACATTCCACAGACTGAACATGAAAGAAAGAAGAAGAAAGGTTGGTTGGTCCAAAACATGGTGAGATTTGGGGACACCTGAGTCTATGAACAAGGAAATAGCCACAGAGGTCTAGAGCTGAGAGTGAAGCATCCAGCTGATATGAATAGGGATGGGCAACTTAGACATTGGCTACCTAAAATGAGGGTGCGATAAAGGCACAAAGTGACTGGCTTACAAGGTTTCAAGGGGGAGCTCAGTTTAATAGCGTGTGGGGAAAGAAAGAGTCCCAACTGAATAGGTTTCATCTTGTATAGATGGGTCTAGTTAAAAGAGATGGGGATACGATTCTTAAAGATTCAATAATGAGTAATTGTTGAGACCGCCACATGTGTCTGTCCAACAGTCTGGTCCACCCGAACATCATCCTGAAGTTGGTAGTGAACACCAATGTTCCTCCTGCCTCGGTACCCAATGGGCTCCTCTCCAAGCTCACTAAGCAGCTGGCGTAGGCCACTGGCAAGTCAGTGCAGTACATAACTGTGTAAGTGGTCGCAGACCAGCTCAGGGCCTTGGGGGCATTCAGCAAGCCATGTGCACTCTGCAGCTTGCACAGCATCTTCAAAATATGCTGGCAAGCAGAACCTCACCTACAGCAAGCTGCTGTGTGGCCTGCTGGTGGAGAGCCTGCGCATCAGTCCCAACAGGATCTACATCAACTACTATGACATGAACATGGCCAATGTTGGCTGGAACAGTTCCACCTTAGCCTGAGGACCCCACCTGCCTGCTGCTGCTAACTATGATTCTGCTCTCCCCATCCCAGCTAGCCCACCTTTTACTTCTGAGAAATAAATGGCTCAGACACCCCAAAATAAGTAAATAAATAATGAGTCATTGTTATTGTGACTATTTGTGATTGTCACAATTGTAAAGGTAGAACTTTTGTAACAAAAACAGGGAAGTAGTTAGTTTTACAGTCCAGAAAAAAAGGACCCTAGGATCATCAAGGGAGAAGAGCACAGTGGAATGAGAGACCTTATCCAGAGAAGAAACAATACCAGACATGGAGGCAGAGATGGATACATGGAGA